CCAGCATCAGAGCGCGCGCACTTAACCGCTAAGCCACGGGGCCGGCCCCCACGCCTCACTTTTTCTGAGCTCTCCGTCACCCTCACTGTCTGTCATCCGTCCTGGTGCCCCGTGTCCCTAAATTCTCAGCTGGACTCACCGCCCTGAAGGTCTGCTCCCAGAAGCCAGTGTGGGACCTCCCTTCCCCGCCCTCTTGAGTTCTGCCCTCCACCTCCCCCTGTCTTGGTCTGCTCCTCTGTTTGGCTGAAGTGCATCCTTATATTGCACCCTAGTAAAGGATGCAGGACATAGACTTCTGATCATTGCTTCTTACGAAGGGCTTTTTCTTCCCTCACATTCTGCGGACCGGTGTGTGCGGGGCGGGAAACTACTCCCTCAGAATTCTGGAGGCATCTTGGCAGCGTCCTCCGGCATCCGAGTTGCTGACAAGCTGCCCAATGCCTCACCCTGGGGTCGCTACGGTGTCGGGCCTCTATGGCCTGGGGGACCCAGGACTTGCATGCCCACCATCTCCAGGGCTGGGTCCAGTCTAAAGAAAGCAGAGTGACAGGCTGGACAGGGCTTTTGGTTCCTTCAAGGATGTCTAAGCTGGAGCTTTCTCCAGTGTTTTCTGCTTTGTGATTCTGGAATAAACCTCATTCATTCCCAGAAGAGGGTGGGGAACCTGGGGAGATGGTGGAAAGCGTGGGGCTCGTGAAATGCCCTTAGAGACATCTACAGTTGTCACCCTTCAGTGTGGTGCAGGGAGCTTGGAGTCTGTGAGGGACGTTACCAAGTAAATACTTCATCCTGGGTCTAAACACACCTACCCATTACTTCAATCACGAAAATGCATAAGAGCCTGTAACTTGCAGCAATTAGGAAGAAACCCTAAATTCCTGAGCCTTTGTTAAAAGCAGGACAAATTCCTTTTCCTTCAGTCCATATGCCTGCTAACCAGGCCATCAGTATTCGTAGAGGAGGAAAATAAGTGACCGTTCCTCCAGTCAGAAGGACGGCGAGGATATCTGAGGTGCTGGTGCAGGGCCTGAGAGTGTGTGGCTCTCCATGTGGCCAGGGCCTTCGTGGTCTCTGACCACAGCACACAGTGTTCCCCAAATGCGAGTTGGGGTGGGGGTGTCCCTGCTGCGTGCCAGGCCCCTTCTGGGCCCGGGGAGACAGCGTGATGGTGACGCCATGGACCCGGGTGCCAGTGGGCCTGGGGAGACATTAGGGGAGGAATACTGAGGGTGTCTCTCTCCCCCAGGTGTCCCAGAGGGAACGTGGTCCTCCAGAACTGCACCCGGGTGGCAGACACAGTGTGCGGCTTGGCTGGTCCAAGTAAGAGAGCTGTTTTTTAAAAATATGTATATTCTTTATTAAGAAATTCACATAATATAAAATTACCCATTGTAAAGTGAACAATTTAGTGGCACTTAGGACCACCACCTCTATCTAGTTCCAAAACATGGACATCCCCCCAAAAGGACTCTGTACCCAGGACACAATCACGCCCCCTTCTCTCCTCCCTCAGCCCCTGGCAAACACTAAGAACGTCTTCTGTCCACAGACAGACGTTTTAAAAATTGTGCTGCTTGGCGGTGGTGGTTCTTGAGTTGTAGGAGTTCTTTCTCCCCTCTCAGGTACGTGATTTGCAAATATTTTCTCCCACTCTGTGTCTTTTCTCTCTGTTGTTTGTGCATTCGTTGATGCACAGATGTTTTTTATTTTGATTGTCTTGTTTGTCTATCTTTTCTTTTGTTGCCTGTGCCTTTGCTGTCATCTCCAAGAAATCATTGCCCAATCCAGTGTCATAAAGCTTTTCCCTTATGTTTTCTTCTACTCGTTTCTTTCTTATAGTTTTAGCTCTTACGTTTAGGTCTTTGATTCATTTTGAGTTCATTTTTGTGTATGTCAGGTAAGGGTCCAACTTCATTCTTCGCATGTGGATGTCAGTTTCCCCAATACCATTTGTTGAAAAAACTGCCCTTCCCATAGAATGGTCTTGGCTCAAGGGTTTATTATTTAAAAAAAAAAAAAATTTAAGTCCATTAGCAGATGAATAACGAACAAAATGGAATATATTCCAATATACATATATCTGAATACTACTTACGCATAACCAGGCATGAAGTACTGTCACATGCTACATTATGCTGAGTGAAAGAAGCCAGACACAAAAGACCATGTCATATAATTCCATTTGTATGAAGTGTCCAGAAGAGGCAAATCTATAGAGAGAAAGCAGAACGTATACTTAAAATGGTTAACATGGTTGATTTTATGTGATGTATGTTTTACTACAATTTAAAAATAAGCAAGTAAACCCTTGAGGAAAAGCTGCACTTCCCTTCATTATAGGAGGACCAAGGCTTTGGAAAGCCAGGTGTCATGTGACCCCCTTGGGCCTCTGTTCTTAGGTCTGTGTCCAGGGGAGGGACACACAGGGCGGCCCTATTGGCTGAAGACCCAGGGGCTCCCCAGCGGTCTAGGGGAAAGTCTGTTTCTCTTTTGCCCTCACAGTGCTTCTGACACCAGATGTGTGTAGTTTTTTCCCCCACAATGACCAATTCTCCAACACCAGCTGGGTGTCTTGCAAGTCAATTCATTCTGAAACTAACCAGAGTTAGCACAGACCCGGCAGGTTAAGGGCTCGGTCCCACAAGACTGCCCCCCACTTCAGATGCCCATCACAAGTCATGGGTCCCCGGGTTACCCATAACTTCTGTCCCACTTGCCTACAAATCGGAGGTTCCCGTCACCCCCTCCTTGGATTCAGTCATTTGTAAAGCAGCTCACGGAACTCAGGGAAACACTTATCCACATTCACTGGTTTATTATAAAAGATATTATGAAGGAAACAGATGCACAGCCAGTTGAAGAAGTACATAGGGTGAGGTTCAGAAGGGTCCTGAGCACAGGAGCTTCTCTCCCTGTGGACTCGGAGTGTACCACCCTCCTGGCACATAGATGCATTCACTAACTCGGAAGCTCTCCGAACCCCATTCTTTTGGGAATTTTATGGAGGCTTCATCACAGAGGCATGATCCATCATTAACTCCACTTCCAGCCTCTCTCCCCTCCCTGGACGATGCCGGGTGGGGCTCGAGGTTCCAACTTCTAATCATTGCTTGGTCCTTCTGGTGGCCAGGCCCCACCCAGGAGCCCACCCAGAGCCACCTCATTAGAACAAAAGACATTCCCATCACTCGGGGAATTACAAGGGTTTAGGAGCTCTGTGTCAGCAACTGGGGTCAAAGACCAAATATTAGCGGGAACGGGGGCAGAGACTAATACACATATTTCTTAATTTTGCACACCAGGACTTTCAGTGCCAATACAGGGCAAACTAGCCCTCGTTGGTCACCAGAGGCACAGCATGGCTCTGCCCAACCCCACTCGCCGAGGTGTCCTGATGCCTGTCTCCTAAGGGGACTGTTGCGAGGTTGCGGGCGGGCACAGGACATCTCCTCAGGGCGGGCATCAGAGCACCCTTCCTCAAACACCTGTGCTGCAGAATGAATCCTTCAGGTCCCTTGGAGACCTGCCACCACACACCACCCTGGGGGAGGGGTCAGACCTCCCTGCCCTCAGCTGCGCCAACCTGGGGTAGCCTCTCCTCCCGACCCCCACCGCGTGCTGGGCCCAGCCTCCAGGCCAGGCCAGAGGAGGCCTGCTCACTAGGGTGGGCAAGGTCTGCCAGGCCAGCAAGCGGAGATGTTTGTTTGTTTGTTCTTTTTTTTCCCCGTTTTATTGAGATATGATTGACATACAGTGCTCTATAAGTTTAAGGTGTACAGCATAATGACTTGATGTATATGTATCATAAAGTGATCACCACAATAAGTTTAGTTCACATCCATCATCTCATATAGATACCATAGAAAAGAGAAAAAAGAGGGGCCGGCCCAGTGGCATAGTGGTTAAGTTTGCGCACTCTGCTTCGGTGGCCTGGGGTTCGCGGGTTCGGATCCTGGGTGCGGGCCTACACGCCGCTTGTGTGTGGCGGCATCCCACATACAACCTAGAGGAAGATTGGCACAGATGTTAGTTCAGGAACAATCTTCCTCGAGCAACAAGAGGAAGATTGGCAGTAGATGTTAGCTCAAGGCCAAGCTTCCTCACCAAAAAAAAGAGAAAGAAAGAAAAAGAAGAAAAAAATTTTATCCTTGTGATGAGAACTCTCAGGATCTACTGTCTTAACAACTTTCAGATATACCACACAGCTTTGTTAACTATAGTCACCATGCTGTACATTACATCCCCAGGACTTATTTATCTTATAGATGGAAGTTTGTACCTCTCGATCCCCTTCATCCATTTCCTGCACCCCCACCCCCTGCCTCTGGGAACCACAAGTCTGATCTCTTTTTCTATAGGTTTGGGTTTTTTTTTTTTTTAGATTCGACATATGAATGAGATCATACAGTATTTGTCTTTCTCTGTCTGACTTATCTCACTTAGCATAATGCCCTCAAGGTCCATCCATGTTGTTGCAAATAGCAAGATGTTCTTTTTATGGCTGAGTAATATTCCATTGTATGTATAGACCACATCTCCTTTACCCACTCACCCGCTGATGGACACTTAGGTTTGTTTCCATGTCGTGGCTATTGTGAATAACGCTGCTATGAACAGGGGGTGCAAATATCTCTTCAACATAGTATTTTCATTTCCTTCGGGTATATTTCCAGAATTTGAATTGCTGGATCTGTTCGTTTGTCCTTTATCCTGTGGCTGCTGGAAAAAAAAGTCAGTTGACCTTACCGAGACATTTTCTCCTTCCCACTTTTAGCCAGCAGACATCATTGGTGTGTGATCCGAAGCTTTCTACTTTTCCTGGTTATTACGATCATCATCTTTTGTTATGCTCTAAAACGAGAAGACAAAGGATTCCGGATTCCGTGCCATCATCTCCCTGACGGTATGAAGCATTGATGGGAGGACCATTGGGTGGAACAAGGGACATCCTGGGCTGCAGGGCAGCTCCTAGGGGCACCTGAGTTACCATGCGGCCGCACCTTTCCTCAACAGTGTCTGGTTCTCATGAGCTGAGGCTCCTCCTAACCCAGGCGAACAGCCGAACGGGAGAGCACACGCCTGGGAGTTTTCACAGTGCTGTCGGCAGCTGAGCCCCCGGCCTCTGAGGCTGAGGGAAGGGCTCGGCTAGATTACGGTGTCCCAGGTCAGCCTCAGAGGCAGACATGGGCTCAGGGCAGGTTTGCCCGGCAGGCTCGGTGGGGAAGAGCAAGTACGGGGCTAAGTGGCGGCTGGGCGTTCTTGGTGCAGAGAGCCGAAGGCCTCTTGGAAGGTTTCAGGAGTTGCGGAAGTGGATAGCTGTGGGCATCGAGGCACAGCCAGGCTCACTGCTACAGCTTCCTGGCCTGAAGAGGGGTGTGGTCACTTCCCAAGCCACCGCCAAGTCACAGAGTAGGATCTCCTGCCACCGTTAACCAGTTTTCTGTCTGTCTTCACAGGAGACAGTGATGGAGGAGAGCACGTGGTGAGTATAGCCTCGGCCCTGGGCAGCATGAGGTATGGTCCCGGAGCAGCCTCCCGTTGAGGGGCAGCCAGCCCTCGAGTTAGTAGGGGGCCGGACTGGCTCCAGGAGGCCCTTTCCTGGCCTGGGTGTTAGCCCAATAGTGGTTCTGTGGCCAAATGGGAGCCAAGGGTCCTGAGCTGGAGGCCCTTTAGACTCGGGAGGGTTTGGTTCATGATGGGGAAACTAAGGCACCAAAAGGCCCTCAAGGTGTCTTGACCAAGGCCAGCCGAGCCGGTGGTCAGGGCAGAGCTGAGGCCAGAGCGGGCCCTGCCGTAGGATCCTCAGCCCCTGTCCTCCCAGGGGCACGTGTGCTTAATCACCCATCACAAACGATTTTCTTATTTTTTCAGTTGCCGGATGAATCAGTCTCCAGCACACAGTCGAATGAGAACCAAGACGCAGAGTCTCCAGTCCCCACGACGGAGAACTCCAGCCTGTCTAAAGACAGCCTAGACATGGTGTCTGAGGCCCCGGGCGCCCCCAGGGCCCCGGCAAGCCCGGTGAATGTCCATGGTCCACAGGTTGCAACAGAGAAAGAATTCGGGCCCCAGAGCACTCACCAGGACCCGGCCCTTCTGTGTTCCCCGGGGCGGAGGGTCAGACTGAGATCCTGGTGAATCTGGAACAGCTAGGAGGTCGTTTGTGAGCCAATCTGAAAGACAATGGTAACAACAACATCCTCCCTCCCAGCCAGGCTCCTCGCCCACTGTTATTTTAGTCATCAGAGCAATCTGGTCAGAGGCCCGTACCCTGATTTCAGGCGAAGACTCTGAGTACAGAGAGGTCGCCTATGCCAGCCCCATCCACCACTGGTGAGAGCCAGGGCTGGGCCTGGAGGCCAGCTGTGCCCTTGACCTCCTCCACCACGGAGCACTCACCGTCCCCCGCCAGTCCTCCAGGAGCCAGCCCTCTGCGGAGGCTGGGGGGGGTGACAAGGGAGGGGCATTAGTTTCCTGTGGCTGCTATCAAAAATGACTACAAAGTGAGTGGCTTGAAACCACAGAAATTCATTCCCTCAGGGTCTGGAGGCCAGAAGTCCAAGATCAAGGTGTCACAGGGCCGTGCTCCCTCCAAAGGCTCCAGGGAGGATCCTTCCTTTCCTGTTTCAGCTTCCGATGGCTGCTGGCAATCCTTGGCCGGTAACTGCGTCACTCCAATCTCCGCCTCTGTCGTCACACAGCCTCCTCCTCTGTGTGTGTGATAGTGAACCTCTTCATCTCAAGTTCATGTGCCCGATGCCCAGCAAGCCACACACTGAGACATCGGTGCTTGGAGATGAGAAAGGTTTATTCAAATTGGCCAAAACGAGTAGGTGGGAGCCTGGGTTTGCTCAAATCCACCTCCCCTAGAACAGAAAGCAGGGGGGTTTTATAAGCTAAGGGACTTGGCAGGAGGTGCTTCAGGGAAACAAAGGGGTCACTCCCAATAAGCCTCTGGGCAATCTGACTTCTGGGCTTCAAGAGCTGCTGAGGGCTGGCCATCTGTCGGTCCGGTGATTGGCCATCCGGTGATCTCAACCTCCCTGAAGGCATTCTCTTTCTCCTGCAAAACAAGCTCACAAATCCTGGAGACCCCCGAGTCACCCCTCCAGTTAAACAGGAAAAACAGTAAATTGGTTTATTATGTACAGTACCCCTCAGATACTTGGCTTCACATGTATCTCTCCTCTCTTTATGAGGACATGGTCCCACGCTACTCTAGTGTGACCTCATCTTAACTGGATTACATCTTCCAGCCTGGGTTTGGATCCCGGGTGCGCACCGACGCACCGCTTCTCCAGCCATGCTGAGGCCACGTCCCACATACAGCAACTAGAAGGATGTGCAACTATGACATACAACTATCTACTGGGGCTTTGGGGAAAAAAAGGAGGAGGATTGGCAATAGATGTTAGCTCAGAGCCGGTCTTCCTCAGCAAAAAGAGGAGGATTAGCACGGATGTTAGCTCAGGGCTGATCTTCCTCACCAAAAAAAAAAAAAGAAAAAACAAGGTTCTATTCCTCATTCAAAGGTCCTATTTCCGGGGCCGGCTCGGTGGCGCAGCAGTTAAGTGCACACTCTGCTTCGAGGGCCTGAGGGTTCGCAGGTTCGGATCCCGGGCTCGCACCAACACACCGCTTGTCAAGCCATGCTGTGGCGGAGTCCCATATAAAATAGAGGAAGATGGGCACAGGTGTTAGCTCAGGGCCGGTCTTCCTCTGCAAAAAGAGGGGGATTGGCATCGGATGTTAACTCAGGGCCAGTCTTCCTCACAAGAAAAAAAAAAAAGGCCCTATTTCCAAAAACGATCACGATCATATTCTGAGGTTCCAGTGGACACGAATTTTGGGGGAACACTCTTCAACGCAGTACAGGAGTCTTTACAGAGCTGGGTCCATGGAATAGGGTCTCGCAGGATAAAGAGAAACTGGTTATGTGGACAGAGAGGGAGGGCCAGGAGAAAGGCCTGGAACAGATCCTCCCTCAGAGCCTCAGAGGGAGCCAGCCCTGCCCACACCTCGATCTGGGACTTCCAGCCTCCAGAACTGTGAGAGAATAAATGTCTGCTGTGTTGAGCCACTCAGTTTGAGGTACTTTGTTCTGGTAACCCCAGGAAACCTGTCTGCAAAGTACTATAAATACATTTTGGGAATGTAAATTGATGTAGCCACTGTGGAAAACAGTATGGAGGTTCCTCAAAAGATTAAAAAGAACTACCAGAGGCCAGCCCGGTGGCCTAGTGGTTAAGTTCAGCGTACTCTGCTTTGGTGGCCTGGGTTCAGTTTTCAGGCATGGACCTACACCACTCATCAGCAGTCATGCAGTGGTGGCATCCCACATACAAAATAGAGGGAGATTGGCACAGATGTTAGCTCAGGGTGAATCTTCCTCAAGCAAAAAAAAAATAGAACTACCACACAATACAGTAATTCCACTTTTGGCTATTTATCCAAAGGAAACAAAATCACTATCTCTAGGAGATATCTGCACCCCCCACCATGTTCACTGCAACGTTATTCACAACAGCCAAGACATGGAAACAACCTCAGTGACTTGCAACAGACAAATGGATAAAGAAAATGTGAGAGAATATATATAGTGCAATATTATTCAGCCATAAAAAAGAAGAAAATTCTGCCATTTGCGACAACATGGATGGACTTTGAGGGCACTATGTTAAGTGAAATAAGTCAAACAGAGAAAAAGTACTGTATGATGTAACTTATATGTGGAATCTAAAAAATATGAACTCGTAGAAACAGAATAGAATGGTGCTTGCTAGAGGTGGGGGGTGGGGGAGGGAGGAAATGAGTGAAGGGGTCAAAAAGTACAAGGTATCTTTATTTGTAAGATAAGTTATGGAAATCTAATGTACAGCGTGATTACTATAGTTAAGAATCCTGTTTTGTATATTTGAAAGATACTGAGAGTAGATCTTAAAAGTTCTTATCACAAGAAAAAAGTATTATAACTATGTGAAGTGATGGATGTTACTTATCGTGGGGATCATGTCACAACATAGACATATACATATATTGAATGATTATGTTGTACATCTGAAACTAATGCAATGTTATATGTCAATTATATCTCAATAAAACTGGAAGAAAAAGAAGAAAACATTTAAAAAGAGCTTCTGCAATGGAGCAATTGTCACTCAATGCTTCAATATCAATTTCCAGTAAAGTCAATGCCTCTGGAGTTCCTAGAAAAATGACTGAATCTTCACAAGACTCCCTTGTTTAGAAATAGAACGCTGAGTGAGAAACGGCAGAAAGCAATACGTCTGAGTCATATGCAGACACAGATTAATTAAAGCCTTATTACCTCAAATATCATCAAAGTTCCTCATTACTTGAATTTAACTGAATCAAAAGGTGTTTGTACTACAAAAACTTTTCACCCTGAAAGAAAGTACTTTTTAGGGGGGAAAATGCTTATCTGTCATTCTGTCCATAGCATTGGCACTTGCTGGTTCAAATCTAGTAAAGCCCTCCCATGGATGCACCATTAATAAAATACTCAGAATGGCTTCTCTCTAGAAAAAAAAAATACATTTGTTGGTGAACATATCCTGTGTAGGCAGGCCTCACTGGCCAGAGCCCCTTTACACCTTACACGGAGAACCACCCACCTAGGGTGGTTCTGGGCTCTTGCCCTGGAGGAGGGGCTTGCAGCGGACCAGAGCCCTCACTTTCTCAGGAGGATCCTTGGGGAGGGAGGGATGGAAGGGATCTTATCGCCCCAGCAGGATGGGTTCCTGCCGGTGGCACCAAGGAGAAGGACATCTCTGGCCTGCACGTGTGGGACCAGCGCGGGAAGTGTCCAGCCATATCCTTTCTCAGGACGGGGCAGGGGAAGCCCGAGGAAGGCCCCAGATGGGGGAGGCAGCTCAATTCACTTACATCCACTCTCCTTACCATTCTCATTCCTGGATTATTTTGAGCCTACTTCCAGATGTTGTATGATTTTATCACTTTAGCTGCCTCTTCCTCTAGATCTATGCCTTTGGACGGGATGGAACTTCCTAAGCCTGAATGCTTTTCCCGTAAAAGACCTACCTGGTGGGACTGGCCTGATGTGATTCAAGATATGCTATGGGGCAGGTGCCTGGAGCTGTTAAGGCCGTACGCGTACACTGGGCACCGTGGTGCAGCTGTGCCCTGAGGCTCCATCTCTCTTCACTATTGGAGAAGCCCCCTCATTCTAGCTGGTTGCTACAGAGACAGAAAGCAGAAAGGAGTTCATTAAAGTGCTACCGGCCAGTTGGCAGAATTGCTGGGGGTTCAGGCTTGGAGAATCTCAGTGACCACAAAGCTCAAGTTCACACCACAAAACAGGTGAGTTGTGGACGGCACGCCCTGCAGACAAGGGCCTGCAGCCTGTTCCCCCTAATAGCCAGACCCGGGGCTCTGCTGCCAACACCGTCACCACCACCCGGGCACAGGCCACCGGCCCGCAGAGAGACCCTGGCGGTCCTTGCTTCTTTATGGTACCTGCAGGGGCCAACTCATCCAGGCTGTCCCAGGACTTTACTGATTTTAGCACTGAAAGACCCATATCCCAGAAACCCTTCCATCTGGACAAGCCAGGACAACTGGTATATGCATTTCCTGGAGCTACCAGAACAAATGACCACAAACAGGGCACTTAAAGCCCCGGGAATTTACTTTCTCCATTCTGGAGGCTCCAGAGGGAAGTCCTTCCTGCCTCTGCCAGCTCCGGGCGGTCCTCGGTTTGCGACTGCATCACTCCAGTCTCTGCCTCCATCTTCGGGTCTTCCTCCCTGTGTGTGCCTAATCTGCCTCTGTTTCACTCTTGTAAGGACATCTGTCGCTGGACTTAGGGTCCACCCTAAATCCAGGGTGATCTCATCTCAAGATCCTTAATTATATCTGCAAAGACCCTTTTTCCAAATAAGGTCACATCCACAGGTTCTGGGTATTAGGACGTGGACATAGCTTTCTGGGGGCCAGCATCAGCCCACAGCAGTTGGCAGTTGGTGACCCTAGGATGGGCCAGTAAGAAACTGAGGCCCTCAGCCCAGTGGCCCACAAGGAACTGAATGCTGCCAACAATCCCGAGAGCTTGCGAGTGGATCCTTCCCCAGGCCAGCCTCCGACGAGACAGCAGCCCTGGCCGACACCCTGATTTCAGCCTGTGAGATGTTGAACAGAGGACCCAGCTAAGCCATGCCGAGTCCTGACACACAGACACCATGAATAATAAATGTGTGTGTCTCAAGAGGCGAAATTTGTAGTCATTTGCCACGTGGCATGAGATCGCTAATACGAAAAGTGACCAGCCTCCACTCCTCTTGATGGGACCCAGCCCAGAGGAGCTGTCCCTTCATGGGAGGACCCAAGCTGAGGTCCCTGTGAGGGGCTCCTGAAGAGCCCACGTCCACACTCATAGCCAGTGCCAGCAAAGAGAGAGCCACAGCAGCGCCAGCGATGGGGACCCCTCCACCTCCTCCAACCCTCCCTCCCCTGCCTGACCCTGGAAGATCCAGAAGATGGGAGAGGGCTGAGAAGATACCCCCACTGCAGGATCCCAGGTGGGCTCTGGGAGAATCGTTGCATTGGATGTGGACTACAATTTTGAGACCAGACTGGATGGATCTTTTAATTATTTTTTCATTGAGGTGAATTTCACATAACATAAAATTCACCATTTTAACCATTTTAAAGTCAATGATTCAGTGACTTTTAGTGCATTTACAATGTTGTACAACCATCACCACTATCTAGTTTCATAACGTTATCATCACCCCCCAAAAAGAAATCCCAATACTCATTAAGCAGTCACTCCCTATTTCTCTAATCCTATGGCCTCACCTCTCACCCCTGGCTCCTGGAAAATACCAATCTCCTTTTTGTCTGTATGGATTGCCTGTTCTGGACATTTCATATAAATGGAATCATGCAATTAAAAAAAGTGGCCTTTTGTGTCTGGATTCTTTCACTTAGAATGATGTTTTCAGGGCTTACCCACATTGTAGCATGGACCAGAGCTTCATTCCTTTTCATTGTATTTACAGTGTACATATGCCACATTTTATTTACCACTTATCAGGTGAGGGACATTTGAGCTGTATCCACTTTTTGACTATTGTGAGTAAGGATGCTCTTAAGATTTGGGTACAAGTTTTTGTGTGGATATATGTTTTCATTTTTGATAGATCTAATTTTTATTGACTTAAATTCTACATATAGGACTTTTTTTTTAAGTACCTCTAACCCACTGTACCAACACATCTTTTCTAAGACTTGTCAGAAAATGTCAAAACCAAGAGAATCTAAATTCTTCTACTGGATGGCAATAAGACTCAGTTTTAAAGACTTTTTTTTTCAGAGCTTTTTATCTGCAAGAGTTGGGAAATCGTTTTGTGAAATCTGAAAATTCTGTCTGAACCTTAATTTGACCTGTATGAAAAGACCACTAAGGTTTCACATGTGGGAACTGAAAAACCAAGTAGCGCAGTCTGCAGAAGTTTGTGGTTTGTTCGTGGAAATCTGACTCAAAAAAGTGAGAAGCATTGCACCACTCTGTTTTTGCCTGCCTTGACAACGAGTCATCCTGGAAGCAGATGCTTCCCGACTAAGAGGGTGGTTAATTATCTTGAAAACTGGGGTGGGAAAGGGTCCCGTGTGCCTCCCCTCCCAGTTCTCTGCAGCTCATCTGTCCATTACCCTTCTTTCTGCGGACACAAGCCGGCTTTCCCCAGGGCTCCCCAACGTCCTCCGCCCCGGACTGAGTTACATCCGGAGTCCTTCCTTGTTTTCTTTCTGAATCTGCCCAGGCTCGCGTGTCCTCCTGGTTGACTTTGTTCAACGGCTTTCTTCGCGGTGAG